ATGAGAGGTCCAGTGTAGGTAGGAGGGAGGGCTCTGGTAGAGCAGCCAGCTTGAGATGGGCGGGATGGGCTGGATGGACAGGCAGACTCACCCAGCAGGTCCACGAGGATTGAGTTGCCCAGCAGCAGTGAGAAGCCCATGAGTGCCCAGGGCAGGAATGGCGCCTGGAAGGTGAGGAGGCCGAAGAAGTTGACCCTCACCTGAGGGCTACGGCGGCTCCATACATACACCAGCATGGCTATGAGGGCCTGGCCCAGGAAGAACAGGCTGCCCAGGAGCCCCAGCAGCTGGACCAGAGTCAAGGTGCTAGGAGGCCCTCCCCTGATGCAGGCCTCAGTCCTTACCTTACCCAGGGTCCCTCTGACTTGCTAAAGCCCTGCAATCTTCCTACTGGTTTCCCTACCCTCAGGGTGTGCCCTTCCCAATCTAAGACCACATTGTGCCCTTCAGGCCCCACGTGATCTGCCCAGCCTCCTACCACTGCCCATCCTTGCCCTAGTTTCTCCTGCTGCTGGCATTCAGGGCTTAGCCCCCAAGCATCCCACCTGGCTCTCCTTCACATCATCCTGGGATATTTTTTTTGTACAAACCTGAAGATTTAGCTTTGGCACCTGGGGCTAAGCGCACAATGCACACTCAATACATCCTAAGCTAGAGTGAACCACTCTGTCCCTCCCCGGCCTAGGCACTTATGTCGTGCCCCAGGACCAACACAGGCTGGATGCAGAAGTGCCCTGGCTTGAGGTTCTGGAGCCTGGGTAGGATACAATCATAAGGACGCCCCCAAAGAGAAACATGAAGACGAAGTCTGCCGTGCGGCCGCGGAAAGAGCCCTCCTCCAGCATGCGGCAGTAGCGGAATCTGCAGCGTCCGTAAAGGAAATGCCACCGGGCAGGGTCTCAGTTTCCCGTCCCCAGCCGCCTTAGCCGGGCAGGCCCGCCCACTCCCCGCCCTGGGTCCATGCTGCACAGGATACACGAAGAGCATGTTGAAGAAGAAGCTGAATCCCAGGGGACCGAAGAAGAGGAAGTTGGTGAGGAGCCTCCAGACCTGCGAGGGGAGGCGGTCAGGCGCCGGGAGGACGGGGCTGGGACGTCAGGTGCAAGGGAGGGGCGACCTCACCTGGAACTTCCGGAACACGAGGTGCGGGTTGAAGTAGAGCTGGAAGGGGCTAAGGAGATCCAGCTGCTGCGGAGCCAGGGGAGCGTCAGGTGCTGCCCGCGGGATCCAACCGTGACACCCCCTCCCCAGGTTGTATCCA